CATTTCTCTGGGCACTGGCTCCCTGTGCTGCTCTGACACTCACTCAGATCTGCCTTCTTCCATCCCCCGTGCTCCACAGCTCCAAGAACTCACCTGAACCAGGGAGCCAAGTTAATGCTCCCCTTGCTTTCCAAATATTCACTCTCAAATGCATTTAAAGACATGCCTTGGCATGTGCTCAAAAGTCATCATTCATTAGGAGAAAGTACTAAACAAAGGATTTAGATTTAGAGGAAGACAAGGCTACAGATCCACAGTCAAGTTAAGAAGGGAATGTCAGCATATGCAACACACATCAAGCATGAAAGCAAAACCAGTAAGGTTCTGGGTTATTTTCATGTTGCAAGCATGTATGTTTCAACAAAGCCAGCACTGAGGAGCCCTGGAGTTAATTCCTGGAAAGCACAGATTTCTATTTAGCAAATACAAAGTAGAAGCCAAAAACATCATTTTTGATACAAAAAAAAAAGTGCAAAAGAGCCATTTAAAAGTCAAAAAAGTATCTGGCTATTGTGGTCTCTTTCTTTTCCTGTACAAACCACTTGTGAGACCTTGTTTAGAGCACTGTATTTAGTTCTGGGCATCTGGCCAGATGACATTCACATTCTGGAGCTGGTGGAGTGAGAAAAAAGAATAGTTTTGGGGTTTTTTTTTGAGTAGAGTCCCTCAGAAAAGGGTTGTGTCTGCATCTAAGCATGTATACATGAGACTGGGGGGGTGACTTAACATCTCTCACCAGAGTCAATCTGCCGGTGCTCTGCCAGTTGTAAAGGAGCAACAGCAATTTGCAGCAAAAGATTTGTCCTTTTGTTTCTGAATACCATACAAAATGATCCAGTCCTTTCAGACTTCTCAAGACTCAGAAAGGCAGCACCTGCTTATGTGCAAAGCAGGGCTTTTACTCTTCAAAGACAAGTTATAGATAAGACATCTTCCAAGAACACTCATTTACAAGGCTGTCTCGAAAATCCTGCTCCAAGATCAGGAGGAAAAATGTCATTTTCTCACCCTACCCTCATATTATACACAGTGTTCACAGACCAGAATCCTCCCCTGTGCAGCATCATTACCTGTTTTCTCACACAACACCCAACACAAATGGGTGCACTAGTACCAAACAGTATAATGACAATTACACACTACAAAATACTATTATTCCTGCCAGAGGACTGGTAGGACTCCAGGAACTTCCTTTTGCTATTTTCACTCTATCATGGTGAGATCTTCATACTCCTCTCCCATATTTCTGCTGATGGCAGAATCCTTACCAGCTCCAAAGGAAACAGTACAGCATTAGTGCACAGCAATTTTCAACTGAGTTAATTGTTTAGATCAAATTTTCCAAAAAAACAAAACAAACCTAATGACAGAACATGACTGCAGCTCCACAATTTCTTTTCTGTTATGTGTAGTTTCACTCTGCTCATTGCAAGGCAGAAACACGGCTTTAGCCATCCAGCAAAATTTTCAATTTTACTTTAAAAAGTAAACAATGGGTTCTAGGTATGCAGGCTCATAAATCTACATAAGGCAACTAAAAGTTACATGGATAAAGCCAAGCTCTTGGGCCTGATTCAGCATTCACAACAGCACAAATTCAGAAGCAACAAAGTCAATCAAGGATAAAACATACTGTCAGCAGAGGAGAACCAGGCCCACCCTCCTTTGACTAAAGAATGATCCTCATAAAGCATGGACTTCACAAGCATGAGAGAACCTGGGAATGCTGTGCTACACTGTTATGCTTTTTGTTTTGCCTGAAAACTTGAGGCAGCTGAAAGAGGCAGCTACAAACACTTCCATGCAGAGACTCTTGGGCACAGAGCAGCAGAGTGCACTTTACACACACTTTTCCCAGCAGCACAACACCCAAATGACAAAAGGACCTGTGCTTCTGCACTGCACAAACCTCTGCCTCTGTCTCACCAGTCCCATCACCAGCTGGGACAGGGGATGCTGTTTGGGGCAGAATGCCCAGTGTGGAGGCAGCCATGGACTGCTGTGGTGTGCCTACAGGTCCTTCACCACCTCCCAATTCTGCAGCAGCCTTCTAGAACAAGGAGGCAGAGAAACAACTGCATGTGTTTGCCTTGGTATACCTACAAAAAGGTCCTTGAAGCCAAATTAACACAGGCTGGGTTATAGCACAGCATGTCTCCCCTGCCAGGTAAGGATCACACAGGGCTCAGACCAAAAACAGGATCACATCATGTACACACTTCAGACTCTACAGCCAAGAATGCAAAGCAGCAGCAGCAGCTGCCCTTCCACAAACAAACCATGTCATGGCTTACGGCAGCTGAGACAAAGAAAATTCCATGTCCCTGACAGCTCTTCCTCCTTGTCCTGCTCCAGCTGCAAGTGCTCAGGACTCCTCAATACTCATGGTAAGGTGAACCAGAGCACCTCAGCACTGGTTGACTGCAGAGTATCAGTACCACTAATGTCCACTGCAGCCCTACTCTGGATCACAAGCACCATAAATGCAAAGATGCATCCATGACCTCCTTTGCAGCTGCCAGTAATGTGCTCCATGAGAAAACACAGGCTAACAGCATTGCAGTAAGTGTACTGATGTAGCATTTAATTTGTCAGGAGAAATTCATTTTTCAGTGTTCTGAAGTAAGACATGTATTAGAAAACTAGAGCCTCATATCCATCCAATTAATACTAAAACATCTCTGGGTTTTGCTACACAGGGATTCAAGGTAATGCAGGGTACTGAATATTCAGCCACACTTCCAACCCCTCTCCTGACAGGCATTACTGATTGGGTGGTAAGTGACTCAAACAAAAAAAAGGTAACTGGCAGGCTTGAATCTGCCTAGCATTGTCTCCACAGCAACTCTTCACTGAGGAATTTTAGAGAGTTTTTTTGAGACACATCTTGAGAAATCTCCAATTGCATATTGGAGGTATGTAAAGCCTCTTACTCTCTTACGCTTAAACCTCTTATTCTTGAGATCTGTATGGTATGCCAAATATTTATTACAGCCACAGGCAGGAGCTACACAACCACAGAGCCTGCAATACCTTTGACCACAGAACCAGTTTTCTGTGTGTCACTCCACTGATGTTTGAAGTCACCATGTCTGCAGGGTAAGAGCACGATTTTACTGTTTAATTCCTTTTTCCTCCTGATACAGAGTCTCTTAGCGATCCTACAGAAACAGTAAACTGTGGCTGTGGTTTTGTGAGATGTTAAGATAAGACCTGAGTCCATATCTACTTGATACAGTACTCCATCAATCCCCTGCTGCTGATGGGAGATGAATTGCCTCACGTTATTCTCACCAGCAGCTCTTTAACTGCTATAGTAACAGCTCTGTTCTTTTCTTTTCAAGGCAGTAGGTCCCTTCTGAAAAAAATTCAGTCACCCTACTGATCATTCAGTCTCTCAGTAGCCACTGCTTGAACTAGCTTTAAAAACACCTCAAAAATGCCCCAATAGTTAAGTAGAAGAGCTAGTCTCCTACAGCAAGAGCAACAGGAGCCACCCCTCCTGGTCCTGTCAGCCACACAGCAGAGCACCTGTCCAGCTGCCCACCCACCAAATGCCTCAGCAAGGCTGGGAGGGAGGAGGGGACACTGGATCAGAGCTTCACACAGACACCACAACTACTTTCCTAGGGCTGCAGTGAGGGACACTGAGCTGGCTGGGAGTGACAGAGTCATCCACCACAGCTCACCCACAAGAGCCCTCTCCAAGACACTGCATCCAGCTGTGCCAGCAGCAAGGGCTGCCAACAGACCCTGGGCCAGCACAGCCTCATTCCACTTCCTCTTGCTGATCTAATTAAATAGTCAAGCCCCAAGGAATAAACTGGTATTTTTGGAGCTAAACAGATCGGAAGCTAATGAACCTTAATATAGATCTAGCCTGAGGAAAGTCAAGGGCTTGGTTGTATGGCTATACTGGCATACTTTTACCACAACAAAACACAGAATTACTCATGGAACCGGTGCAGACATGGCTGAATTGAACACAGAGCTGCTGTGGAGCAGCAGAATTACAGCTGTTGAGCCCTTGCCTCTCCAAGCACTGCCCCACGAGCCATCCAGTCCCCACCTAGCAAGCACACACCTCTTCAGGTACCAGAACTCCACTCACCCAACCAGTTCCACACCTGTAACCCCAAGCTATCCTCTGAGAAAGGGAAAGAGAAAGGGCTCTGGCCACCACTGTCCTGCTCATCCCCTGGGGCTTCTGCTGTCACGGAAATACCTGGTGGAAATTCTGCTCTGCTCACTCCTCATCAACTCAGCTGAGCTGGCGAAGGCACATAAAGACCTTCCTTATTTAATAGGAAGCATTCATGAAATACCATTAAGAGTTACACTTTGGGAAATCAGCAAATAAAACAAATGAGAGAAGAGTAGCCTGAAAAGATGGGAAGACGAGCTCACAGAGGATAACACACCGTCTGCTTTTCTGCATCTACCAAACCACACCTGCGCGATCTAAACCAAACATTTGAACGCAATATTTACAAGGAAACGCTTCAGCAGAGGACGCAGCCAGACACACACCGCATTCCTGCGTTTTAGGAGCCCACGTTTCAGATGCCCGCACTGAGGACTCCTCGTGGAGCAGGGGCTGGACTCCTGCGCACGGCGGGCGCTGCCAGGGCCGGGGCCGCACCGCGGGACCGCCCCGCACCGCGGGACCGCACCGCACCGCGCTGCCCTCAACCGAACCCGGGACACCCGAGGGGACAGGGAGGCGGCGGGACGGATACTAGCAAGGTGCCCAGCCCCGGGACCGCAGGGACCGGCCCGACCCGGCCGCCCTTGGCTGGGAAAGGGGCAGAGCCTGGTGAGAGCAAAGCGAGGACAACGCTGCCCCGCGGCACCCGCGGCTGCCGGCGCTTGGCTGGGCCCGTCCCGCCCGCTCCCGCGGCGCTTTCGTGGGGGTGGTTTCGATCGGGCCCCGCCAACAGCACGGACGGCCGCGACCCCCGCACGTCCCGGCGCCCTTCCCTCACCTCGCTTCGTCTCACCTCGCCTCCCGCGCGTCGGCGGCAGCGCCGGGCAGCGCAGTCGGAGCCGCCCCGGCCGGCCGGGCCGGGCGGAGGCGCGGGGATGGGCCGGCTCTGCGCCGCCGCTCCGCCGCCCCGGGCCCGGCCCCTGCGCATGCGCCGCTCCCGCAACGCGCTCCTCCCTCGCCGGGCCGGGCAGAGCCCCCCAGGGCACCGGGGACACGCCGGGCACGGAGCCGGGCGGGGCAGAGCCCCCCAGGGCACCGGGGACACGCCGGGCACGGAGCCGGGCGGGGCAGAGCCCCCCAGGGCACCGGGGACACGCCGGGCACGGAGCCGGGCGGGCAGAGCCCCTCAGGGCACCGGGGACAGCCCGGGCACGGAGCCGGGTGGGGCAGAGCCCCCCAGGGCACCGGGGACACGCCGGGCACGGAGCCGGGCAGGCAGAGCCCCTCAGGGCACCGGGGACAGCCCGGGCACGGAGCCGGGCGGGGCAGAGCCCTTCAGGGCACAGGGGACAGCCCGGGCACGGAGCTCGTGGGGCAGACACAGGCATCTCCAAGTCATCAGGACGCGGGCGATGGGCGCAGTTCTCCAACTTGGACGGAAGAAACTGGTTAAGATCATTCGCAGCCTCGATGCTGTTAGGCTGTGTATTTTCCACAGCTCATTCCAGGCTGCATTTCAGTGCAAGTTATCTCAGTAACAAAACAATGAGAGCAACATTTCCCTTCCATTCTGGCAGCTGCCAGCAGTGCCCATTAAGAATGCCAGTGACCACAGTGAGGAGCACCTGCCGTGTTAAGCCTGGTTACAAACACATTCATACACGTTCATAGACACATCGCAGTGGCAAAATCTGCTTAAAGGGGGTATAAACAATTCCAAAATCGAGACCATTAAAATGAAAGGTGGATGCTTACCTAGCTTTGAGGAGGCAGGACAAAGGGATGCTGTTTCATGTCCAAGAGGGTGATTTTAATAGTAATCCATGGCTTCCATGAAAACTCCCATTTATCTTCAGGCCCTGGTTGGCCCGCTGAGCAGCCCCTGTTGCTGCAGCCTCCATGCAATTTACAGCTGACTTTTGAGAGAGACGTGAACTCTGGCATGAGCTGGAGCAGTCCTGCTTGACAGCTGTGGCAGCAGTGGTGACTTCTGCAAGGTCACTGGCAATGGCTCCACCTGCATGAATACCACACAGAACTGGGACATTAAAATGCACTTATTACTAACTATATTGTGACTGGCTTTTCAGTCCAATGGGAGCTGCTGGTGTTTATTCAGGAGCCTAGAACACTGAAGTCCAGCTTTGTAGTATCTGGTTTGGTAGAGCCATCAAAGCCTTTGGCTACCTTTTCACAGAGAGAAGGGGAGACACTGCTGCTCCCCTCTCCCCACCAAACATTTGAGAGCAGTGAGGTGAACTGCCAGCCACAGTGGAAAACAAGAGCAGAAAATGCAGTAAGCAAGAGGCAGGTTAGGGCATAGCCAGCTCCACCAGACTGGAGCAGAACTGAGCTCCAAGGCCTGGAAAAATTCACTGGAAAAGCCTCTGCCTTTGAAGAATCTGAGATACAGCGTGAAATTTCATGGCTTGTGTTTCTTATTTATCCCTGAGACCCCTCCCCTCAATCCAGCTGTGAGATGGGCTTGGCATGGTTTCCTGTGCATACAGAAAGCCTGTAGAACAGCAGGTTTTTTTATTTTTCCAAGCCCTGAACAGCTGGACTGTATTTCCCATCATATGGGTGTGGGTCAGAGACCAATTTGTAGGCAGAAGGATTTAAGGTGGGATGGCCCTAAGCACCTGACTAGGTGGACAAGACTGGCATCCATCCTTCCCCAAGCTGCTGCTCTGCTGTGTTATAAACCATGGAGAGGTGAGGGAAGATTTCCTATGGAATTTGGGGTTGACTGGGCCAGGGCAGTATGTACTTCAGCTACAAAAATCATGTCCCAAATTCAAATGAAAACCGTGTTACCAGGATGGATCTCCAGTGTCCTCAGAAGATGCCACAGGGAAAGAACACAGACTTGCTTATCTATTGTCACATGGTGGCAGCTGCAACAAGGAGCAGAAACTGTTAATTCCTTTGGCTAGCTTCTCTCATGGCAGCCAAGATTCCTGCATCAGACACTTTCCTCTTGCTCTGGCTCCTGCCCTAGACGCCTGTCACACTGCTGTGAGCTCTGCAGGAGTGAGAAGAGAAACCACAGCCCAGGAAAAGACAGAGCGGTCGCTTGGATCTCTCTCCTGTGAGCTGAACGCGTTGCTGCTGCACCACAGGAACAACTGTGCCATCTCCCAGCCATGGAGGTGCATCCACCCCAGCCTCCACAACCAGGTCATGTCCACCAATGACTTCAGAGTGACCTTTTCTCACCTGAAAATATGATGTGTGTTTCATTTCATAGCATGTGATAGCTATTACTTCAGTGCATTCCAAATCTGGCCCTTGGCTGCATTATGTGTATTATATTTTCGGCTTCAAGCTGGATTTCTTGTTCTGATTTGCACTCAGCTGTTCCTTATAGCAAGAGAGGAGGGAGATGGGAATCAAACTGCATGAAGGAGGCACAGCAAAAACTGCTTAAGAGCAAAACAGTCCAAGATGTTCTGCTTAGTTTTCCTGATTACTTTTTCATACACTCTGAACATATCAAAGGGAACATAATTACACACTAAAAACCCCACTGACCAAGAAGTGAACAAAACCCCACAGAACTGAGCCAACTAGTTTTTCTGCAAGCCTAGATTTTGTAGCTAGGCTAGTATTGGGATCCTGAGATGTTCTGTGCTCTGTTCTGTTGCCCTGCAATGTACAGTGAGGCAGAATCTCTCCTTGTTTCCACCTCTTCCCTTTCTCTCAGCCTTGTCCCATGAAGGTAGATCTGGCCAACAGCTTTCCAACACTCCCTCACATCAATACAGATCTCCATGGTGGGGTTCTGATGAGAGAACTGACAACAGGTAAACTTCCTGACCAGCCAGGAAATGAAAAAGTGGAAAAGCTGCATAACTGTATTTCCAGCTCAGCAGCATGCACTTTGTACCTTCCCTCTCTTTTAATTTCAAGATCTTTTTTTGACAACAGTATTCAAACACAATGTATACTTATACAGGGATGTGCAAACACTTGGACATCTTAGTTCCCACAGAAGATGTTCAGGAGAAGCCCAAGTTTCTCAGAAAGCCCCTGCAGAGTCAGAGCAACACAGAAACACCACACACGTCTCTGAGCACTGTGAAAGGAAGAGGTGAGGGCCATGGCATCTGATCCATCTCCTCACCAGCAACCTCACCAGCTCAGGCAGCAAGAAGGGAGGTGCAATAATGAGCCTCCAGCTGCCAGTGAAAGCTCATTCCAGATGTGTATCTGCCCAAAACTCTTCCTTTCTCTATAATCCAAGCCGAAGTAACATGGCAGCAGTGATGAGCCCTCTGTCAAGGGAGATGATGACTGCCAGACACTAGCTGGGAATAATCCTCAGGAACTTGGGGATGGTCTGAGCCATATTCTGATCCCACTGCTGAACATGTATCTTTTTTTGGGCGGCACAGTGTGGGTAGGAGAGAAGCAGTGGTAGGACCTGTGTTTGGGTAAGGACTTCCTCAGTGCACCCCAGTTCAGCATCCCCGATTCTGTCTATGACCCACCACTGAAGCACAGCAACTTGAGCTGATCCAACTTTGGATTTGGAAGTACCAGCTACTGAATAAACCAACCTCTGCCTTCACTGTGGTGGATGGAATCCTGGCAAAAAACAGCATGCTCTCATCACCTTCAAAAAAAACAGGCTGATATTTCCAGTATTTCTCTCACTGCTGTCTTAACTTGCAGGAAAGTAATGATTGTGATTCATCCTTTTATCTTTACACTGAAGAGGGAAAAAGACAGTGGTTTTAGCCTGGCTTTAGAATTGTTTTCTAAATAAAGTCATCTGTGCTCTAGATCTCCAGTTACAGTGAGGAGTGCCATACACCATACCAATTTATGGGACAACAGATCATTAGGGAGAACTGTGATGAACCAATTATTTGTCCCTTCAGCATCATGTTTTGACAGTGCACTGTTTAACTAGGCCCTACAAAAATTTAATTACTAATGCACTTTATGCTTCTTAATTAATACTGTTAATATCTAATCCTTCCCCAGACTTGGAGTGCCCACACAGAATACTGTTCTAAGGCTGCAGCAGGCATTTGCTTTGTTACCTCTTGGCAGCCAAACCAGACCACTACGAACCTGGAGGAGAATCAGGCCTCCTCTATGCTCAGATAGCAACAAGAATGCCAGTATTCCAGGGGAGGGAAAAGAATTCCTGCAACTACATTAAAAGCTCTTGTGTTTATTAGTGAAAGTACTAACATTTCCCAGTATGCTTTCAAATTGTAGTCAAGGATTTTGCCTTTGGTTTGGAGCTGTTTGTAAAAACAACAAACTCATACCCAACCAGTAACTTGAGGATCATCAGCTGCAAATGTAACTCTCACAGATGCAGGCAGAAGCTGGCTGGTCTAGAACCTGGTGTGCACCCTTGGGAGGTTGAAGAATGTCCTGAGACTGGTTTGCGAGCTAAAGTGCTTGCTCTTCTCTAATGGGGAGCAAATTTGTGTATACAGAACAAAACCCATTGCAGAGCCAAACAGTATTTGTCTAAAGTGCCACTAAATATTGCTACCATTCCCTAGAAAGGCCAAGCAGCATGAATTCAAATGGCAGGAAACAAGAAGAAGAGATGGTACCTAAAATGTACTACCTGTGAGTCCAAGTTCATTAACCATTACTTGACAAAACCCAGCAGATTGTTACCTTGTGTTTGGCACTTCATCTTCAGCCTGGAGAGAGCTGCATCAGCCAGGAGTGAGGACAGGCCAGTTCTTGGGGTGTGTTCAGCTAACACAGACCAGCACTCTAGAGGCAGCTTGGTATGAACAGGACAACAGGACAACCTCAGCAACACAGTAAATAGCTTTGAGTAAGGATGACAAGATCTGGCCTGTTAGGTTTAATATTTTAATCTGCTGCCCAAGTGTACTGTGGCTCTAATCACAGCCTCAGTGGATTCCTCGAGTAGCTGAAGA